TTTATTTAGTCTCTAATTTTCCGTTTTGAGTTCTGGGCCTCATTGTTGAACTTCCTACGTTTGTGTCTGGGACGATCTCCTACCTTTGCCTCGTGAAGGGGTTTGTCAACTTTTCTTGCGTTGCAAGGCCAGAATTGGTCCCAGCGAGAAATATTCTAGCCACAGAGCGCAGTATAGAGCATAACAGTTTGGTCCTTTTGGCACTTTAGTTTGTTTACGATCAAAGAACCGCACAACTGTGAAACACTCTTTCTAGCTCCATTTTTCATCTCTTAATCTTTCTGTATTTAATGGCAGAATCCGAAAGTTGTCTTTTAGATTTATACTACTCCGTCTTCGAAGTACAGGGACATGTACATATACCCGGTGAGGTTCTTTTTCTTTCTTTTTTCATTTTAATTTTACTTCCTTTTTATTGAATACACAATGATACAATTTTCAGGAAGGGGGAAGCGGCCAATCAAAGGGCTGCCATGGGGAAAGTTAGGCGATGGTGGTGGGGTTCGAACACAAGTCCCCCGAAGTGATAATTTGGTGACGTTACCACCGGACCACCACGTCCGTCGTGAGGATGACTGGACAGTCAGTTTACAGCTAAGCGTATAAAGCACTGAGTCGTCGTGGTTGATGCGCTAACCGTCATTCGCCTCATGTCTCACATATCCCAAGAGAAAAAGCTTTCCACCACTGAAAGCAATTGAACCCAGCTGTCCGGTCCAGTCTCAGTTCTGATTTCCGTGGTCAAACACAATAATACCCCTGGACTATCACTGGTAAGAGAGATTGGCGACCCAGATGGGTTCATATGCTTTTAGTACGTACGCTTGGCAGCCCGCGCCAGCAATATTTGGGTGTGTTTGCATCGTACGGAACCTTTAGGCCTCATGGAAATCTCCGGCCCCCTTTGTCCTGTAACACCGTATCTCCGTCATCCGTTCAACTGGTGGTGGTTTGTGGCTTCGAGATTATTCAAAAATGGTGAATGGAGTGGGGAGCCGAATTTTCGTTCTGTATCACCGGGTTACATGCAAAGTTACGACCGCTTCATTCAGTTGAAGCCAAGGTTAGCAGAGCGATGCAACAAATCGATTTTGAGGAAAACGAATCAATTGAATAGGCAATTTGTTGCCACTCCAGCTGTTACAAGATGATTCGGATGCAAAGCTTTTCATGGGGTTATCGGTAATTTGTAGATCATGAATAAAGAACACAGCAGCACAGTGTTGCACAATTTACTTCCGAAAAGAGTTCGCTGTATCTGTTCAGGTACGTACTACAATCAAAGAACATTATGAAAACCAACAAGTAACATTTACCACGGATGAGTTGTTGCCGACTACGGCAATCCCCTAGTCATGGAATAAAAGTATCCGAGCCTTCTACGTCAAACTCTTCGTTTTTATTCTCAGAGGCGTTAGCCGCATCGAGTTAAGCCGAATCACAAACCAAAACGACATTGGGAAAAGAAAGCATCCCGATAAATGCATTTTCAGGTAATTCTTTCGCTGAAAATAACATTATGGGCATTCTGCTTCTCTGGTGGCACACACACGCATGGGCGGTTATCTGTCGTTTCGCACGGTGCATAAGTTGTCTCTTTAGCGCCGGCGGGAACCCAGTCCAACGATGGCTTGACTACTTCTAAATCTACGTTTACATTTACAGAAAGTCGGTTATTAGTTTAGAGGTAGTTCAGCCAAAACCCTCCAAGATTGTACCACTGACAAGCCTAGTTACCATATCGAAAACGTGATAGAGTCGAAATTAGAATTCGTATCATCGACTGACCTAAAAAGGTTTGGGATTTAGTTACTAGTTTCCTAGGTGTGAAAGAATCAGATAGTACTAGACACCAGTAGTTGGTCCCGGGAGACACCTCGAAGTTCCGCCCTGAAACAGATCTGAGTTCGTAAAATATGGGGCACTTGATGAATTCTAGCGAAGTTTAAAGGAAAAGTGCTAAATCTATCGTCCATACAGTAAAGCAGTTTTGAAAAATTGCGATGAAAATCAGAAAAGTTTCGAACCCTCGTCATCCCATTAGTAAAATGTTTTTCATCCTTATGTTTTTTTAATTTTTAAACAAATTGATCGACATTTAATAGCAATCCATGAATTGCATCGTCCTGAGATCCATGCTAAGCGAATAGTGAGTAGAATAAAAGCCACTCATGCCATTTAACTGTGTTCATCAACCAATGGACAGATGAAAACCACTGCTCCGAGAGAATGGAACTAGTCGGTAGTACTCAGAAGTCGTTACATATCAGATTAATCGGTCAGGAAAAGTTATTGTATACAAGTCTTCGTGACTAGCATGTGTACTGAAGTGACATGGGCAGGTTTGTAGCTCAACTTATTATTTTTTTTTCAAACGGCTCGCCTTTGTACTGAGAGAAAATCATCTTAAGAGCATCATTTACCGATGAATAAATGAGAGAGCACCCATTTTGGTTTACATCATGCTCACATAGATAATTGTTTGGCAGGATGTGGTCCTATAGGACCACATCCTGGTGGTGGTGGTAGTGGGGTAATCTTATATTTTAAGAAGCCTTTTACGCGTGGGATTTGGTCTGAGTACGGTCGGGTTGTGATTATCAAGAGTTTTGTGAGTATCACTCAAGTTTATTGGGAAATGGGAGAGAAAAATGATGATCTCAGTAGGCCAAANAGGCCAAAGATAATCACAGAGAAACAGCAAAATGATTGCCGAAAAAAGGCGGCAATTTCCGAAAAAAAACAAGTATTCCTTTGGGTAGTTTAGGGTTAAAACCCGGACAAATAACGGAGATAAGGCAAATGATACGCACAACACTTCAAAATAATAAAAAATTCATTCAAATTCTTCACCTTATTGATATCCGCCGTTATCTAAAGCCTTCAGACACGAAGAATCTCTTTCATTATTTAGTTATATGCATATTGAGAAAGTAGGTTACTAAACTCAACTTGTTAATCTTAAACACAACACGCTTAGAATCAGTTTGGGCCTTTAAACTTTTATCATGCATTAACATAGCCCTTTTGATTCTGAAAAACAAAATACTCACATAAAACTAAATGACTTCAGTCGGGCACATGCTGCATCAGCTTTCTCTATATGGTCACATGAATAAGCATCACAGTTTTGGTTGACGAAACCGGCGTGGTCATCAGGGCATGGATGAAATTCATTCTTAGGATGAAGAAAAATTGTCTGGTAGCTTGTTCATTCCCGATCCCAATACTAACTTGGAATTTTATGCGATGGAAATGTTTGTGATAACCGACAAGCAGCAAAAGACAACTGTTTCGTTCTGTTTGTGACTCGTCAGTAGTGCGTACTTTTTGCGTCCCTGTCAAGACTCGAACCCTGAACTTTCGTATTGCGACTTCAAACCCTTAACCATGGGCTACACAGTTGACGGTCAACTCCTTGTGCTGAATCAATTCAGACGGTTAGTGTTTGAGTCAGCCCAGTGCTCTTTGCCGGTTATGAAAAACATTTTCATGGCATTTAAAACCAATCGGGAGTTAACGATCATCCATGGAGTGAAACCCACACCCAAGATCATCAAGAGTGCCCGGTGCCTCTGAACATCGAGTGGACTAAGCCTAATTTGACGCACATTATGTAGCGCACCACATTTGAAGTTAAACGTCTCAGTTTGAATTATATCGACAGTGCGATCTTGCAGGCTATTAAAATGTTTGGAATGCAAATTGCATGCTTGGACTGAATGCCGCATTTCGCTGAACTTGAGTTGGCACCGTGGATTGAATAAACCACCTTTATGAAGATCATGAAGTTTATTGCCAGTGTGATCCAAGAGAACAACAGCCCTGCAAGGTCCGGCTTGTGTTCCGTTGGTGAACTTCTACCTTTTTCGTATTAGAGCAGTATGTTGATTCATGGTTAGCGGTGGCTTCGTTTTGGCTCATTCGCCATTGGCTTGGAATGCATTCAATCCACGGATCAACGCATCCCCGCTAATTGAACCAACTGTCTTTTTGGAACATTCTGTATATCTTTTCGATCCACTAAAGAGTAGCACGCTTTACATGTCATGAGTGGTCCACTGAGGTACTTTTGCACTTCGATTACCCTCGACGTGATCAAGCATACCTGTCAAGCGCCTTGACGTTGGTGAGTACCGCACTTTCCCGAGGATACAAAACAGATTTAAATTATAAAAGGAAATCAAACAGTTCGCTTATTCCCCAAAAGATACGACAACTTGAAGCTTCTTTTCCCATTATACGATTCTTACACAAACCGAAATGAGCGTCTTCAAAAAGCCAAATTCTCTATGTGATTAAAACGTTGTTTATTCTGGGTCAAATATCGTTCTCGAGGTAATCAATGCACGTGTACGAAAATATTGGTGGAGTATAGCGATAACTGAGAATTTAAATTTATCAAAATGACCTAATTATTTTTTCACGAATCTTCTTCAAGTTATTCGCCTTTTTTAGATTGGTATTTACAGCAAAATTGCCTTGAAACCCACTCTCAAGAATTCAACCGTAATCCGATGCATATAAGCGAAAATCCTGTTTAGCACTCAAGTGCTCTTATCAATGACAGTCATATTCACACAGCATACCTTATACCTGTTTGTTAGAAAATTAACCTATCAACTTATCACAAAAATTTCACGTGATTTAAACAGATCATTACTTATCTTGATGTATCTCGGGCTTTGGTGATTTGCAGACTGAGGAAATTTCACAGCCACAAAGACAAAACGAATTTGAGTGGGTGGAGCGGTTTTAATAGAAACTGTAAAAATTTTGTCGAAATCGGATTGTCGGGCAGAATACACAAAGTATAGGTCAAAAATAGTCACAGTAAAGTTACCGTCATCGCGATATGATAAACCACCTCAAAATTCTCTATCACATAGAAAAAGATTTTCTTGCCTAGCCATTACCAGTTCTTTTTTCAGTTAAATGTTGATGAAATGCATAAATCGCAGTTCGTCCTGATTTTACCCGATTGAGAGGTTTGAGTCGTTTTAAACCTCAGGCGATTTGCAATACGGCCAGTTACCATTGGCTATCCGGTATTTCAATTCGGGACATCCAATGAGTTTTACCATTGTCAAAAACACGACCAGTACAACGGTCGTCTTGAAAAAAGCATCATCTGAAGTTGTATACTTGACGACGATATCCTGAAACGGATCAAAATGACGATAACAATGAGAATAATAATAATAATAGAAAAAAATCTACTTCCTGTCATCATTTATTCGAATGATAGCACAAATTTCACAAGAATTGGTCAAAACACTATACTGAATCACAGCTCCTTCAATCATTTTATTCAGCAATCGGGATGAAATGTTTCAACTTTCGTTAGAGAACCGCATAAATAAAGATTGAACATAATCAAATGTTTAGGACGCAGATCACATCGACTCCAGATTATATTTTAGTCAGTGAGTAGCTTAAGAGCTTGAGAATAAGCTTTTCATCCCGAGCTACAGGTGTGCTTAAGATTGCAAAACATATAAGTTGTAGTGGTATTGCTTGTCCCGCTTTGCATCTGTCAGAGTCACCAACACAAAAGCAAACTAGGACAGCTTTCGTTCCCGATGAGGTTGAGCTTATGAAATTAACACACTGTAGAACATTGCCGAACACTGCCAGGAATTTCAATCACCAGACACCTACAGATTATCTGTATCCACATTGGTTTTGCTCCAGTCGACATACATTTTTTATTATCTACAATTCGGGCCGACGGAATAGCACTAAAGTAAATCAAACTATTGTGAATGCATTATTGGACAGCCAGCCGGGGAATTCGTATTATAGATAATAATTCAACCGAATTCGGCCTAAAGTCTATGGTTTGAATATGCTACCAGTTACAGACATTTCTGAACCAAGCTGTCGACAATACGCATTTGACGAATGACCTAGAATAAAGTTTATTCCAGTTCCATAGATCTTTTATTTTTTTGAACGATTTTGTGACTCTGATAAATAACCAATAACAAATAGTCAATAATTAGTCGAGCCACGCATTTTTTCCAAGCTGTCTATCTTATAGGTTTTGATTATAATCCACTGAGTGAACTATAGGCTTCATGTATTTCTTTCAAATTATGTTGGTTTAGCAGATAATGAGGGTGGATGGGAAAGCGATAAAAAGTAAATCAGTTTACAACCGCATCGGATCAGCTTTATCACTAAACGGTTAAACCAAAGCCACTTTTGTTTTGTAAACATCAACTGCAACTTCAAAGTTCCGAGAGGACCCGTAGTGAAGTAAGCTTTTCACAAAAGGCACGTGTTTTCAAATCGTCCAAAAGCCTCGTCCTCAACTATGAATGCAAGTAATGATATCTCCATGGTTTAATGTGAGTCTTCGGTCACTGGTGTGTAGTTCTTAGAACGATAACTGTTAATGCTTGGCCTGCAAATAACCCTTGTCCGCGTTCAATAAACTATTGCTGAGAAGACTGGTCAAACAAACAATGCATTGTCGTGACCCTCTGTTTAAGGTGATGTCACTAGACTGTGTCAACCCAGGGACCTAAATTTCGTTGCAAAGGATGAGCAGAAACTGTTGAGATCTGCAAAATGTGTACGAACTTGATTATGAAATATCTGATGGGTTTACTATCCGTCTGACCAACTCAGGTTCGGTCAATTATAAAAGGCAATATTTGCAAATAATTGATTGTGAACCGGTAATAAGTTGGCCAACATTTTTACATTCTACTTTCTGATCACGACAAAAAAGGATGAATTGTAATGTGAAAAATGAGGCATCCATTGAGAGTCGACTGAGTCGGTCACTCTAAATCCCCGAGTTCATGATGACGGTTTTTGTAACCAAGTAACAGGTCTATTTGTTTGAGGCTCAACCCTCAAATAGGCTTCCGTGAAGTAAAATAAACAGACTACACTCACCAGTGGATGTGTCTCATCTGCCAAACCGGTCGAATTTTCCAAACCAGCACAAATGTGCAAATGCTTGCATCTCAAGCTGTTCACCGGCGTACAAACACCCGGATGTGACAGATTAGTGGTGCGACTAGGAGTTTGACCTTTTGTCCATTCACAGTTTGGATCACCAAGTTCCTGACCGTTGGTCAGTCCGTCTCCATCACTGTCCAAGCGACAAAGTTGCGTCCAATTCTGATGTGGGAAACAAATGGAAAAATTTATTCGAGCCATCGAGATGAATTTCTAGGTATGTAGCGGATCTTCTGGTGGGTTTACTCAGGGCGAGAAACTCAAAGCAATGGATATAAATGACGCAGCACAGTTTGCTCTCGCTAACTATTTTTAATCTTGGCTTAGTACCTTTAACGTGACTACACCTGTTCCCATCAAGCGTTAGACAAACCCGCAGTCCTTTAGCCTCAACGCACAAAATTTAGTCACGCCGCACTAGGCGAGTCCCATCAAAAAGTATCGGAATATTGCGAAGTCAACAAATGTTGAAAATAATTATTTTCTATGAATGTTGATGCTGCAAAGCTTGGTTAAGAAATAAGGTGTTGCATGCTGCAATGCATGTTGATTGGAGAAGGTGTAACCGATGTATATTGTATTGTGTATAATTTTTGTAAGCACCGGAGCTCACATTTCAGTTAAAAACCATACACGCTCACCGTCACATAATCAACGGGGAGAATAGTTTTTAAAGACATGGGGACAGCTCATAATCCAAGGTTAAGACAAAGTTCACTTAATGTTCACTCTTTATTCATGAGTAGACAAGCAAGATACGGTATGGGTGAATTGCGGTAAGCGTTAAATCGAGATGAAATCTGACGGGATTGGAAGCGTGTTGAATGATGAGAACGACAACATGTCAGTTCTGCGTTCTGTACAATGGATAGTCAGGATGTGTGCGAATCCTCTTAGCAAATTTCACACAGGAAGTTACGGGATACTCTGAAAGCTTTATAGTTAACTCATCCACAGAAATATGGAAGACACGACTAATAATGGCTAGACCGCAGCGTAAGACTTTGAAATCCTGTTTGAGTAAGCCAGAAAAAATAACTGGGGAACAGCAGAGATGTAAGAGTAAGATGGGGAAAACACACTGATAAACAAAGGTGGAAGGGATGCGCGAAACTGCCTGAGCTTTCGTATTTGAAATGATAGTCGCCACCGTTTACCAATTCAGTTGTGGATGTGGGTTGACCAATGAAAATTGCTGTCTATGGAGCGAGCAAAACTATATAAACATTTAGCAAATTTTCTGGGGTCCAGGGTTAGCCCCGATAAGGAGGAGAATGACTGAATTTGTTCAAGATTGTTGGTGAAGGAGCTTAGATCAGAGTAAAAAGAAATAAGGTGGTACAATACGACATCATCTGCATATTTCAAAATTCGTGCAGGAGAAATACAGGGAATATCACAAATATAAGGGGAAAATAAGTATGGGTTTAGCACAGCTCCTTGAAGAACCCCGGAGTTGTTGACTCAGGGTTTCGATGAAGACTTCCCCAATTTAGTGGTTTGTACTCTATCAGTAAAATAGTTAGATAGCCAAGCTAACAACTGCTTGAGGCCATCAAAGGATTCCAGTTTTTGTAACAACGTAGATCTAGGAATGGAATCAAATGCAGAAGAGTAGTCCAGAAAAACACACCAAGCAGACTTACCGGAGCTGTTCAAAGACTTAGTGATGAAATGAATGAGAATGGAGACTGCGTCCAAGGTGGACCTATTAGGCCTGTAAGCAAACTGTAACGGATCGCTGAGAATGTTTAAAGACTGATTAAGCCGTTTGAGGATGGCCTTTTCAGTCAATTTAAGAGCTGAAGATGGTAATGATATGGGGCGAAAGCGCTTTTTTCCTTCTTCTACACACCTAGATGTGTTGGACAGCAGTCGGGGAGACCCCCATCGTCACGAGGACCTGCGGTTCAGTGGTGGGAACTGGCAACCTAAGCCTCGGGACTTGGAGTGGTGAACCACACAAGGCCCCGGTAGGTTCGGCGTGGTTTTGAACCGGACGACAGCAGAGCTGCCTACCACTAAAGACGGGTGGCGGTGGCGGGGCTCGAACCTCGGGTTATAAGGTTCAAAGCACGCCGGTGACAGCAACCACACCAATGCGCAATACAAGATTTCCATGCTTGAGGACTGGTATGATTGTGACCGGCCTCCAACAGTTGGCGATTGTAGAAGTATTAAGATATTCGTTGACAATGAATGGATTTGCCCCAGCTAGGGATGCTTTGCAGCATCAACTTTTATAGAAAATAATTATTTTCAACATTCGTTGACTTCAGAATATTCTGATACTTTTTGATCTGATTCGCCTACTGCGGCGTGGCTAAATTTCGTGCTTTGAGACCGCGGTTTTGGCTGAAGCTTGATGGGAAAAGATGTAGAAGTTGCTAATCTGATATGCTGTTTAGAAAAGAAGCGAGTACGTGTACACTTGAAGAAAACTCCGAAGTTCCAGATTTTTGAAGTAACGGCAATGCACAGAATTCAATACTGAGAGAGAACTGACAGTGTGAACGGAGTTTACCAATTCAGAAAACAAATTGAATTGATTGCTTCAATAAACAGGTGTCATTTACACATAGAGGGCAAGATAAAGATGTCTGAAAGTGAACGGACTTCTAGGCATCCATCATAAGGTTTCAATAACTGTACTGTATTGTATTATAGATGACTTGTGCAGGCAACTGTGTCTATATTTCAGTCAAAAATATGTTCACCGTTACAATGAGATAAAAAATGAAAAAAAAATTCATTTACAACAATGATAAAACGTAAACAGGTGTTAATTTTTGTAGGTTTAAAATTAGTTCGTAACGGATCTTCACCGTGTCAGTGAGAATACGAGCCAGATAGGGAACCTTTGAGTTGCGATGAATGTTTATGCGGGAGGGCAAGCAGCTAGAACAATATCTGATATTTCGCAGTTGCATATGCGGCTAACATTTAACCCAACTTAAACAGCACTGGTATTTTTCTGAGTATCACATAAATTGACCCTTACTATACTCCAACTGTTTCCTTAGGTATATCCTTTTGAAACAGTAAGGGCACAGTCAGGGATCGATTGAAAAAGGAAACCCTAATAACGTCCACTTTCCTACAGGTCAAACTAAAATGTTTTTTCAGTGTTTTTTCACTTATAATTTTAAGTATCGAGGTGAGGCCAAAATTAGATTGTCATCTGTGTTCACTGACGGTACCGCTAACTTTTTCCTAATCAAAGTAAAGCGATTCGGCGAAGGTACGAGAATAACAATAACATCATTCCAATAATTCTTATGTTTTACCAGCACAGAGCGACGATTTACAGTCTATTCCTCTATGAATGAAGCCCTTCGTTGACTATTACACTAAGAAACATCCCATTTCAGACGGATTGGATTGCATTTTAATTCCACACATCGATATGAAGTGAAAAACAGACGGGGTATACCGCATAGTCACAGGAATCTGTTGTTCACCCATGGAAACCGATGACCTAAACCCGTGACTTGGAATGGCGAACCACACAAGATCCCATTATTCCGGATGTTATATTCAATTGGATGTAATACTAAATTGAAAATAACTGAAACAAAAACACGCACACAACGTTTGCTCACAAAAAAAAACTTATCGGTATACAAATATAGGATATTATCCTTTGTGTAATGCAATTTGTCTATTTGTGCCAATCTTGTTTTTATTCGTTGATCACTTTTCCCATGAGTATTATTATTTCTAGTTCTAATATTTCATGCATAAGTTGTAATTAAAATATATAACATCCTTCTATCGTTACCCAGAGTTCTGGTTGTTTAGTATAATGTTAGAGACTGCTTCAGTTTCGCAATACACATCGATTTGCGTAGTATGTTACGTATCTGAACTAAAGGAGTGAACTCATTTCTATTGATTCCTAAAGGTGATGAGCCTATTAGCCAATGCCAATGGTAAGAACATTTGAAAAAAACTGTTTGGACAAATACTTAGTGTGTTGCTAAGTTTAGTTTTTGGATAGAGTTTTATCTTAGACTGTAAGTAATAGGAAGCAATAGTTTGACAACTGCCATTATCTGGTGAGTGTTGAAAGAACTATCACAGCAGAGTATACTAAACGAATACACCAATACTACGCCCCTTAACGGTCATCACGATGTGGAACTACGGTATCAACGGCGGTTGTGGCCAAGCGGTAACGTCATCAAATTATCATCCAGGGGATGTGTCTTCGAATCCCACCATCACCAACGGCCTAACCTTCCCAATTCTTCGTTGAATGGCAGCCCTTTGATTAGCCGCTTCCCTTTCCCTCAAAATTGTATTTTGTATATTCAATTAAAAGAACTAAAGTTAAAAAATTTACGGTGCTAACCTTAGAATCATTAAGTAGAATTATGTGATATGTACAACTAACTGCATTTATAAAACATCTGATTTTACAGTACATAGTAAAAATGTCAAACTATGGGAGCATGGGATAATACGAAATCATTAATTTACATCATTTCTTGGTTTTTATTCGCATTCTGCCTATTGTGAATTTTGGTATCACTTTCTAATCCCTTCATTCCCGGTCTCAATGTTAGTCATAAATTGAATAAATTTATTTCTTTGTACTCTACTCTCACTGATACTGATGAACTAAAGAACCTGGTTTTCAAGAGTTCTAAATCAGTGGTGGCAAGCCCAAACCAGCATCGAGCTCAAATTATTAAGTGATCCGATATTTCATAAGCTTTGCAGTCCGTATGTGATATAGGTATAATTACATCTGCCTAGGCAATAAACACCAAGAATATGTAACGACTATCGCTTGATTTTGAGCAAGAAGTTTCTTCAATACACATGCATCAAATAAGAGTGCAAAGATGTTTTATACCGCCTTTCAGGTTCGACGATATTCTCAAAGATCAATTTGAAGATGCATACTTTCAAATTCCTGTAGGCAAAGATTTTAGTTAATCAACGGTGATGAAGATAGCTTTTGATCTATACAAATGAAATTTGCAACTTCGTGGTGGGCATGTGTCACTAGCGGTAGTTTGGAAATTCCTCAATGACATAACTTGATAGCAGTGAGTTATACCAAGATGATGCCATTGTTCACAGTTGGAGTGCTCATCCCCATTGTTTGTTGAATTTCACATTTCAAACAAGTCGGATAAACGTGCTTTTGGTGGTTCTGTGTCCCAACTTTGGCTACGGCAATGATACACAAG